AAAAAAAAAAAAAAAAAAAAAAAATTGTTACCAATGGTAAAGAGGTTCGTTGTGATCGAGCACCGGAAAGTGGACATACCTGCAGCTCGGCGGGGTCCAGCAGGCGGTCCTGCTGCAGCGCGCGCAGCGTGTTGCGCTCCAGGCTGTCCTCGAGGTGGCGCACCACGCGCAGGCGGTGCTTCAGCCGCAGCTGCTCGATGCACTCGCTGCTCACCGCCGCGCCGTACGACCGGTACGACTGGTACACTACTTCCTGGATCTTGATCGTCTGGTAACAAATAAAAGCTCTAAATATGGTCCCTCGAGCAGGGTAAAACAGTTCTACGACTGGTACGACTGGTACACTACTTCTTTGATCTTAATCGTCTGGTACCAAACATTATACTTTACAACCAGTTAACGTGAACCTATGTAACTTAGCAATAACGTAGCTATTTAATGACGTAAGAATTTAACGTAGGCCCAGTAGTCTTTATTTCAATACATACAAAAATACAAACCTTTCCTCTTTATTAGTATAGATATACAATAATGCTGTATTATTGGTCTAAATATGGTCCTTCGAGCAGGAACGCTCAGTTTTATTTAGACTATGAGATACAATTATATGATCTTTACCTTGTCGGCAGTCCTGGGCTCAGTGGAAAGCGCCATGGCCTCCTCGTTGAAAATACCCTCGAGGTAGTCACTGAGCACCTGCATCGCCTGCCCATCCTCTGCGCATTTAAGCAGCTTGTCTCGATTGATGTCCAGAATTGTCAAAGTTACCTACAAACACCAAAAACATAAAGTTTTACCTTATCCGAAAGGACATATAAAATAAACAAACAATATCAACACGTACTTGGAATATAACTTTAGCGCCGTCATAAAAGAAGCAGTCCATAACGTTGACGGCGCATTCGTACGGCATCACGCTGATGAAGAGCGTGAGGAACCAGGAGAGGGAGATCATCTTCATCATGCCGAGCTCGTCCAGCTTAGCATGCAGCTCCGGCAGGTGGCTCTTTGTCAGATCGTCCAGCACACCTTGGTCCACCTTCAGGAGTAATCACAATTATATACTACATTTCCAAGAATCTCAGCGTCAACAACACGAAGTTTTGGAATATATTAAAAAGAACCAGAAGCTACATCCAAGAAGCCTAGTTTTAATTCTGTTACTTCCTTTACTCCCATATTTTAACAGGACTAAGTAATTTTTCGTGTTTCTTCACCTTTCTAACCCAGAACTGAAGTAATTACCGATTAAACAAACTACAATTATGGATACATAAACTAGCTGTTGCTCGCGACTTCGTCGGCATAAAATTAAAAGATTTAAATAAAACATAGCCTACGTTAACCACTGATAACGTAGTTTTTTAATGGTTCAAGAATTTTTGTAACCAGCCCAGTAATTTTTGAGTTATTTAAATATATACAAAAATACAAATGTTTCATCTTTATAATATTAGTCTGGAAGTATAGATTTACGCAAAAGGAATAGTAACACAAAATGTTATTCATACCAGAGCCCCAACGACCCTTGTGTTATAGTAATCAGGCAGCAGAGTCTCGCATATGGTGGCCAGCAGCCAGAAGGCCTGCTCCTCGGGGCAGTAGATGAGCAGCACGGAGGCTACAATGTTCATCGCCTGGCAGTACCCTATGGTGGGGTTCCTCAGCGCGTACGCGCACAGCACGCGCCGCAGCGCGGATATACCTGGGTTACACATTACCTATTGTCAAAATCGACAACTATTGCGTTGCTGAAGTTTCCATGTATTTTATTATTATGTAGTGATTTATTAATGTTGAACTAAGTTTCAAAAAACAAACAGAAACGCATTGAGAAGTAAACACACTAACGAATTATTAAAAATATCTGGGAAACCGGCCATAAAAGAGTCAATGAACATGTCAATATAGACAGGGGCTAAATCTTTTTAAAATCAGATGAAAAATCAGTTAAAACATCAATTTTAAAATACTATTTTTTTAATATGAGTACTTTAAGCTATAATTATGGATCTGATGGTTAGCCTATAATTATTAATGTCGATTAAATAATCAGAAGATTAAATAACTACGTTTAAGCGTCATTTCTTACCGACATCATTTTGGAACGCAGGATGTTCTGGCAGCGATCTATGCAAATCCCTTTCGATCTCATCATTTGCTTGATTTTTAGAGGAGAGTGCTTCATTAACCAACTTCGCATACAGGCCTTTATTCTGTACTTTCTGTAGTGTAGAACCTGAGAAGACGCTCCACAATTCGCCTCTCAGGGACTCCGGTATACCGTTCACTACAAGTTCACTGCCAGCTGTCGTCTGATACATGCTTACACCGCGACCCACCTCCGCCATGTGATCCTCCCATTGTTTTTCCTATAAATACATATTTTATATATCGAAAACTTTATTTATATAGCGTAGATACCTTAACTCAGAGACAAATGTCATCTGTTCTTTCTTTCACGCGAGGAAAATTAAATTTTAACAAAAGAAAATCTGACTTCAAGACAAATATTTTCGACTTTTGGTACGCTTTTTTTAGCTCAAAAAAAAACTGTATGGTTTTTAATTTTGAGAAAGTGGAACTGAATAGCAGCATACCGCATCAAACAAAATAAACATGTAAATTACACACACATATTTTTAAGCCAGTTTAAATTGTGGTTCAAATCAGACGAAAACTTTAAATTTGTTATTGTTTTTTCTGTAAGCTTAAGGTTCCTACCAGCCATTGAAATTACAGTTGTATTAACTAAAGTTGTAGAATTTCCACCGTCGTAGAGATTCTAATAAAAGCAAAAGTGCGTTATCAGTATTTCGGTAGAAGTAGAAAATGGTATACCTTTTTCTGCTGTATTTGTTTAATGGTTGCCGTCTGGTGAGTCTTGAACAGCGTCATGAGCGGCGGCTGCGGCGTCCAGTCCGGCCCCTCCTCGTGCTTGTCCTGAACACGTGTCGCTTTCTCCCTATATAAATCACTGACCATTGACGAAATTTTAATAATAATAAAATAACAAAATAGATTCATGCCATTTATTATTCTCCCATGCCGGCAGCCGCTGGTTATCCCACGATGGTGTTATTATGCGATAAATGATTGTTAACCATTTTATTGCCATTATCATGCTAATTTTTAATATTTAAAACTAAACACAAATTACATATTTTTTACTTAAACAATTTCATATATATTATCAATACGATTTGTTTTTTCAATGGTATACAAAATCTTCGACTTTAAAATAATATATGTTATCAGTCAAATGGCAAATGTCATTCAGATGATATTAGTAACAAGCAGAACAAGCTAGTAATGGTAGTCATATCTGTAAACTCGTTAATTCTCTGAAAAACAACACACTTATTAAATAGTCAGTTTCAAAATAATTGTAAACATATTTTTTTTTTAATTTAGCCGATAGCAGATATTCTATCTAAACTCTAGGTGTGTCCGATTCGAACCCACGACTACGTGATCGGATGCCCACCCTCCTGTTAGGCTATAGTAGCTTGTACAAGTGAAAATAAAACAAATAAGTCAGTCATATTAAACAGTACGACGCAATTTGACCGATAACTGGAATGTATAATTTGTATTTAAAATGATGAATTACGTAACTTGTTGACCGTTATATGCAAACAATGTCAGTGCAAATTGAATTATCGCTGTGATAAATGTTTTGTTGTTAATTACTCATACAATGAACAAATGAATTTCAGTTTTATCTAAACCACTGTTAGTATACTTCTGTTTATACGTCCCTATTTAAGGAGGGCGTACACCTTTGACTAAATTGTCGCACAACTGGTGTGCGATTGTCGTTTGTTTCGCAGTCAATTCGACTGTTTAGTAACACGATGAAAAATCGAGTAGTGTACACCTCCATATAAGCTTATAGGAATCAAAGCGTAACTAAAAAGTTGTGCGATAGTTTAGTCAAACTACATATTTTCTAGTCTTCATTTCAAATAGTAATTCCATAAATATCCAACCACGCATGTTCTAAACAACTTCCTAGTGACTTACTTGGGCAATTTGGCCAGCAGTTCAGATATCTTGTGTACGAGGAAATCTCTATCAGATATGTTCCCGAAGAGAAAGCTGGTGTGATGGGCGGTGGTGATGAGGATACTCCCAGAGTCGGAACTACCAGCGCTGCCAGAGTCCGCGCGCTCCACTTGGTGAACATACCGCAATGGTATCGTCAATCTCACCAGATGTCTCACCTAACGAATTATTTGTGTTACACCACACGAGTTTCAAATACGTTTTTTCCAGTTGATAGAGTGATGACCTTTATCTTTATAATATAGATTTATAACATACTTGCTTTCGCCCTCGACTCCGTAAATGTGGAAATAAAAAAGCAAAAGCAAGTAGCTTATGTGTTCTTCTAGACTTTTCTCTACATCTATGCCAAATTTCATCAAGATCCATTCAGCAGTTTAGGCTACAAACTCGAAGAAACATTCATTCATATATCCATCCATCCATCCAAACATTGATAATATTAGTAAAAAGTAAAATTACCACAAAATATCCGTGTCGAAAACGTAACCAGTTTCATTCATTCACAAATCGATAAAAATATAAGATGATTTAATTTTATCAAAACAGTGCTACATATTAAAAGCACTTATTGGAAACAACGGTTTTAATTGAATTGAGGGTGCTGATGTTATATATATTTGAGGCAATATTCTACAGAAATATACTTAAATATTTGGTAAATATCATATTTTATTTAAGTAAAACTATCACTTTCTCAAATCTTTGTTACTGATGCTAAGAATAAAATCGGAACATTTCAGACATGAACATAAACCTCATTGTTCTAGTCTGAGGTTTAGTCTATGAAGGAAGAGTAATTAAATGGTTAGAGGCATCAATAATTCATGATAACAATAGAATAATGTGCGATACAAGTGCAGCACGCGCCTCGACGTTACCGTGACTCATAAAGCAAACGGAGATTGCACGACAATATTATATGTGTCAAGAACTCGATTATGCTGTGTATTGTTATTGCAAATCTAAACAATAAAAACATATGACAAGTTCCGAAAAATATACGGATTCTTATGCATTACATAACCCATTCTTAATACTTATTTATTACATATAAAAAAAATTAAAGTGTCTGTTTGTAATATAAAAAATAATTCCACATTTCGGGAAGATGATTTGCTGATAACGAAAATCGCATTAAAAATTTTTTTGTCTGTCTGCCTGTCCGCAAGCCGCGTTTCCGAAATCTCCACTCGCAATCTCCGAAACGGCTGGGCCGATTTCGACGGTACTTTCACTGAAAGGTAGCTAACATAGACGGGTATAATAGGCTACTTTTTATCTTAATATTGGGTAGACGAAGTCGCAGGCAACAGCAAGTTAAGTATAAAATAGTGCTATTAGGGAATATTACAATACAATAATGGCTGAATTTTACCATATCATGTCATATTAATATTTGTTACTAGCTTTCGCTCGCGACTCCATCCGCGTGGAATTAAAAAAATAAAAGTAAATAGTCTATGTATTATTCCACACTATCCTGTACATCTACACCAAATTTCATTTAGATCCATTCAGCAGTATATCCTATGAACTCTAAAAGAACATCCATCCATCTAAATCTCGCATTTATAATACTAGTAAAATTTCATAACAGTAGCACTTACCCTGCTATCGAAGCATATAAAATTCTGCGAAAGATACAATCTGCCCCAATTATATCTTTTATTATATGGTGTCCATAAGGTACATTCTTCGCTACCATCCAGTTTCTCAGTATGCGGTAGTCGAAAGCGTAGTGTGTACAGATTCGATTGTTTCCTCGCGTCCAAATCTCGTTTAAGGAATGATGGCTTCTTTGGTACATTCTTACTCAGCTTAGTAAGTAAATCTTTATCCATGTTAAAGCTGCCGGATTTGTCGTCGATCAACCTGTTAAGAATTAGGACATTAGTAAAATAGAACTATTTGATTTTTACATGATAGTTTTTTTTTTAAAAAAAAGGTATTTTTACATAGTTTAAGGTGATTTTACAGAGAAATATTAAGAAAGTAATACTATTATAGTGCTTATAACATTTTAATATTTAGATATATTTAAGATATACAAATAATTTTATATTCACACATGTCCAATATGAAAAAAGTAACATCACACTTACTGTTTCATAGCTATATTAGCTAGTTGCTGCATTAAGGCAAAAGTTTCTGCCTTCTTCAAAAACATTGTGAAATAATGTTCCCCATCTCTTGTAACAATTTTGATTGAATCCGGAAATAATATGCTATTGGTCTTTGCTAGTTCAGTCACATCCGCCCATCTTATCTTAAGAGATGTCTTCTTTCCAAGTATATAAGAGTAGAAACACATATAGTGTACTGACAGATATAACCAACCTTGTCGAGGAATTTTACCTTTCAAATAGCTAGTAAAGAAAATAATACATATTACAAATAAACAAGAAGCTTATAATATTCCCATGTATATAAGCTATCATTCCATCAAAATCAGTCCTCCAGTTTCAGAAATTACAAATATTTGAGTATCATTGTCAGCAATGAAAATACATAGTGTATTTAAAATGTGTATTTCTACAATATAACACATAGTGTTAAATTGGGTAAACATTATCTCATTGTCATCTTTACTAAGTCATTCAAATATGATATTTAATAAATTATTTTGCAGTAATTTAAGTAATATATTTGCTTGCTTAAAATATTATATTATAAATTTACTGGCTGTCTAAAATTAAGTTTAAAGCTTGTGTTCTTTCAGACTACACTGCATTTATGCCAATTAACAAGATCCACTGAGCAGTACTGGAGATAAATAACAAACATCCATCCATCCATCTAGACAAGACAAAATCCATACCTGCAGGAATAATAGCACACCAGTTTCTCATCTTTTGGCAATGCAAATCTTTGGTGAAATTCATAATCAACATTTTTGTATGTATCTTCATCTAAGAAATATAAACAAATATTTAGTTATATTTCTACAAATTAATTAGAATCAGGGTGGATTAGAAAAACATCTCATTTTATTACCTTCAGTTAAATTCTCCTGTTCAGTAGCAATAATGGAGTTAATTTTACAACATACAAATTCTGTAATCTCTTCTTCACTATCAAAAGAATGCAAGGTAGGGCTTACATTGTCAAACAACCACTGCCAGTCTTGTTGGATTTCTTTCTCTGTTAATGCAGTGGCTATTACTAAATCAAACAGAGGGAGTATTTAATAAAAATAAAGTTAAATCAATACTATTTAAACAAAGTGCAATAAAGTGTGATTATTCACCATAATATATTTCAGAGTTAGGAGTTTGGTGTAGTATTCTAAAGGGGGCAGGTTTTGTATCCCAGACACTATCGAGTGTGCCCACTAGAAGCGAAGATAGTCCTTTTGATTTGCCATGGCCCTTTCTTCTTTGAAGAACGAAGTATAAGGTTGTCTCATCACAGTCCCTGTATATTTAAGGAAAACAGAAGTAATAAAAATAACATTATCGCATTCAAGACATAAGATAAGCAAATATTGTCAGGTAAATAAATTACCACAGCGCAGTTTTTATGAAGACTTCTTGCGGTTTAACCCACATAGTTACTGTTTTCTTAAATATGAATTGCATATACCGATATTCATTCCCGGGCTATTATGACTTTTTCATTGCCGTACAAATTAATCTAAAAAATCTAACAAAACAATCGCAGAAAACAACACTGAAGGGCGACTTGATTAAAATTTGACAATGACATGACGTTGATGACATCAGTTTGACATTTTACCGTGGTGTTAGGTCTTGCACTTGTAAAAATTATTTTTTTTACACTGGTTTTGCCCAATTATCCTGAACCCTTAACTCTGTCAAACCCTCGCACTCCCCTCAGTCGAATCGTCGAATAAAGCTCCCTGCACGCCTATAGATTTAACTGATTATTTTAACTGTATAGTTAAAAGTAACGGGTGTAGAGTAAGTTTTACAAGAAAGGATTTTTATTTAAATATAGAAACAAATCGTTTAAAATAATTGTGTAATTCACAAAAAAAGAAAAAGTAAGTCGAATCAGCTTACAATGTTTATTCAAAGAACTGGGACTAATTAACTCTTGAATGTAAGGAAAGAGTTCTGCAATTATAATAAAAAATTAAACGGTATTTCAATCAATTATGTTTTTCTTTTTCTGCTATTTTCCTTTGAGTTTCAGCCCATGATCTTTGATTTTCTTCAGAATTTGCCATTTCATGAATCTTTGAAATTAAATACAAACCAACTGCCATCCCCAGTGGATAATACATCCATATAATGTTATTTTTCATATAAAAAAATATTGGAAATTGTGCTAATTTTGCAGAAAAGGTGTAAGGAAATTTCATATGTCGGCCCGATTTCCTAGAAAAAATCTTGTTTTAATTAGGTAGCTACGAAGAAATTTGTATTACATCGGTTATGTATACACAATGACCATTATACACTAGTGAGGAAACAATGAATATGCAGTTATATACAGAATACTAATAAATAACTTTTCAACAAATAAAAATGTACTTAGCAATTTCATGTCTGTGCTTGTTAGGAAGAGAGAAGAGAAGAGGGGCTATAAAGTTTTAATTGTACCCTGCAATTATTTCCTTTTCACGTAAGAATACTTCAATTTTTGTGTAGAACGCCTCAAGTTTCTTCGGAAATACCATTTTTGGACGTTGTTATCTTCGAGTTTATTATATGTTTTCAAAGAATTAGGCATGCAATTGATCAAGTTGTCAGTGGCTAGTTTTTGTTTTTTATAAAATTATATCGACCAGAATTATTTCTATGATGAACAAATATATTATTTATGTATTTTCTCCACTGAACTCTATAGTTAGACCGAAACAAAACTTTGGTTTTCAATCCGCGACCTATCCATCTGGAGAGATCAATGTGACGATGGTGTAAATTCTTACAGCATACATTTTAAAATCTTATACAAAAGATATAACTTTATACAATTATAATTTGATATATCTATATTTAATTATACTTATATTTTAACTTTGCAATAATCGCAGTCATTTTTTAAATTTATGTATCGATGTTTCGATTTTGTAAAAAGGTGACATTTGACGTAACTGGAATCCTGTCTGTTCTATTTGACATTTGGATGAGCTGTCAGTGTAATAAAGTAACATTTTGTAAAATTACGGAAATTAATATTAGAAAATCTTATAAAAATGAATGACAACGAAAAAGAAGAGGCTGCTAATCTGGTATAATACAATTATTCTTAATGTAATCCAGTACGGTTTATATTTGATCAATGCATTTTCGTTTTCACGAAATATGTAATTTATTTTAGAAAGAAGAGTTTGAATGGGTGCTTCGTGAAGAAGTACACGCTATATTACATCAGCTCCATTCAGTATTAGTCGTAAGTAAAGTTATTTTACACATTACCATTAGTAAGCATGCTATTTTTATCAAGAAAATGCTTGGGGCTTTTAAAATCATAAGTCCGATTCTAATAGGTGAGGGAGGTAAGTTTTCGTTCTCGTAATTATTTAAAAAAAATTTATATTACAACATCAAAATGAACATCAATAGAGCCGCTTATTTTGCAATATTTTCGTTCATATAAATTTGTTTATATAAAAAATCTTATTCATATTCATAATATATCTTATTCATAAATTTTTAGTGAACACATAGGCCATTCACTTGTACAATTTTTTGTGTAATATTTTTTTTTTGTATAGCACTATGTAACCCTATGATATTTTTCAATACTGGATCAATACTGGATGTTGTATCTACTTCATGATAACATAAAATGAATTTGTAAATAGATAAAATACTAATAAAGATTTGAGATTAATCTGTTTTTATATAGATGTACTTTTCTTATAGGAATGTGCTCATAGGTTTCCTGTGCCTTTATATGGGAATGAAGGTCAAAAGCAGGATAAATTCATTCTTACTTCACAACCAGAGCAGCTCAAATGTATTGTCACCTTAACTGGTGATAGCATTAGTCATGCAGTGAGTATGAGCTATTTAAACTTATGTTATAAAAATGAATTACAATGTTCTTAGTACTAATAGAGGTTATGGTTTCTGTAATTCCATGGCTAGCACACATTGTGTGATGTAAGGTCAAGGATTACTCCAGTTGACCCAGCTCTCTGAAGAATGTCATCAACTACTTTGTTCTTAAATAACTTTTAGCAAGGATGAATCTAATTTATTTTTGTTGCTAAGTTTATTCTTAGTATGGTCCAATAAAACCAAAATATTTTTGGTTTAAAATGTTAAATAGAAGTGTAGAGGGGTGCACCAGTAGAGTTAGACCTAGAAAGAGATGAAGGTTGCGTGAAAGGTGACATGATCAAGAAGGGAGTGATGACAGATGATGGATGATAGATTTATTTGGAGGACGAAAACCTGGTGCGCTAACCTTACGAGATTAGGGTAAGGTATGGGAGATGATGAAGTACAAAAGTATCAAGTATCAACATTGAGTCATAGTTTTTTAACTTGTTGGTGGTGATAATTAGTATCCTCTGTTAGTGGGTCTCAAAATTCATAGTTTTTAAACCTATACTTTGTTTCTAGGACATCAGTTTTAAAGTTTTAAGGCAAATGCACTCTATATGTCGCACATCAATCAACCAGGATGGGCCGTGGAAGCTACAACAAATACAAGACGCAGCTAACCATTTGCAGCAAGCTATAGGCTACATTGACAATGTTGATAAACATTATGTGTTCAGGTAATGCTTTACGAAGTCAATTTTATTGATAAGATAAATGTTATTGCCAATTATATCTATGCATTATTGGTCAAAGATATTAATAATCCTATTACTTTGAGATATGATTGTGTAACTATGTAAGTGTGTAGAAATTATAGATAGGGAAGTTTCCGGCTAGTGGTCAGCTGTGTGACTGATTGCAGCTATCATTTTGTACAGTAATCTAACTATACGTAATATTAGCTGTTACTTGCGACTTCGACCACCTGAAATTTATTAATATAGCCTATGTAACTTAATAACATAGCTTTTTAACAGGGAAAGAATTTTTGAAATCAACCCAGTAGTTTTTGAGTTATTTCAATACATAAAAATATCCAAAAATACAAATCTTTCATCTTTATAATATTAGTATAGAAAACATGTGATTAAAAAAGGCTGCTGGCAATTCCCTGTAATTTAAATGACGTTGAATTCTCACTCTCATATATTACGAAAATTAAATTCATTAGTATTTTTTGTGTTTCAGGTCTTCCGAAGAGGTTTTACACATTATACAATGCCTACTCGGTTCCCTACAGAGGGCTCGGACTGCTTTAGTTTTACCTAAGAAGAAAACGATAGACGAGCTTATGAAGAGTAGAAACATGGTAAATATATAACCCATTATAAAGTAAATAAATCTTTACATTTAGTATATGATTAACTTGTGGATTTACAGAAAGCACTATCACCGAATCTGCCTGAAGATCTAGCAATATCATTTTATATACAGTCTCATAAGTTGATATTTGTGGCGTACCAGTTGAGTTCAGTGCACGGTACGATGCGTATAGACTCCTGTCAGGCGGAATGTGCGGTGCCCTGGTTGAGTGATGTTCTGTTCATGTTAACGGCCGCACTACATATGTGTCAACAGCTAAAAGATAAGGTAAGAAAATGTATTTTTTAACTATAATTTATGATTAACTTGCTATCGCTCGCGACTCCGTCCGCGTGTGTTTCAAAAAAACAAAAATAAGTAGCCTATGTGATCTTCCAGACTATCCTTTACTTCCATGCCAATTTCATCGAGATCCTTTCAGCAGTTTAGGCTACAAACTCTAACAAACATCCATCCATTTATTAATCAATCCATCTAAACTTTCGCATTTGTAATATTAGTGAGATAGTAAGATTAGCTGTTGCTCGCGACTTCGTCCGTACGAAATGAAAAACAGTATAAAACACAGCCTATTTTATTCAGCAATAACAGCTTTTTACTGCTGAATTTATGAAATTGGCCTAGTAATTTTTAAGTTATTTCAATATATATAAAAACACTAATCTTTCCTCTTTATAATATTAGTAAGTATAGACAATAATATCTGATACTCATTTTAAGTCATTGTATCTTTTGTGTTTAGATGATTCTTGATATATTTTTACGCGTTTTTTCCACATCTAACAACTGTGAGTAGTCAACAAATCTAATTTAACTGATAAGGTTGATATTAACCGAGTAAACAAGTTACGTTACCAGGGAAAGTTTTACGATGGTGATAAGTTAATTTGGCGTTCAGAACTAAAACATGAAGTATGGTGGAGTAAAAATCAGATTTCCTATGTACAGAAATTTAATTAGTAACACTTACAATCTGTTGACCCTGTTATAGACACTCAAGTTTACTTGTGCTAATTAAATGATAAAATGGCTAATAAGACTAGAGATAATTTGGAGTACATAGATAAGAAATAAAAGGTCATTTAGTACCTTATCATGGGTGATATGACCATATGTTAATGTCAAATTGTAACAGATTTATCTTTATCATATACATTAAGCAAACTAGGATATTTACATATTTATTTAGGAATGTGGAAAACTGAAAAGAATACTTAATTTAATTGCTAAGTACATTTAAGGGAATTTGAATGGATATCTAAATGTAATAAATAATAAAGATTTATTTTGTATTGAAATAACTCTAGAAATACTGGGCTAATTTAAAAAAATCTTTCACCATTAAAAAACTACGTTATCGTTTAGTAACAAGCTACATAGAACTTTTTTTTATTATTTTTTTAATTCCACGCAAACAAAGTCACTTGCAACACCTTGTACCTACATGTTTTTCATGTACACAGTTATTGATGATTTTACAATCACATTACATATGATTAAATTGATTGTTGGTATCTTTGTTGAGGTTATTATATTATATTATGTATAGATGATGTTATGCAGTATAGATAAATCATGTAGCGAAGATAATGTTTTACTTTCATTTTTTTTTGTATACACGCGTCAATACCATGCTTGTATGTAATGACTTTTATACAATTAATTTATTGAAACTACTTCGGTGCCGCCACCGAAGGTTGTCACGTGAGTTTAGCTGTGTTATAATTTATGTAATTTTTGTACACTTAGTTTCAGTAAATTACTAACCTGTATGGGTATTTTGTTTAATAAATAAGCATGTACATATTTGTTGATAGTATGCATTCAAGTTTACAGACAGATAAATCCATTAATATTTTTTTAACCGAAGGCATATAAAAGTTTCTAAAACTTTAAAATTTATAACATTTATGGAGCTGATTGTCCTTCTATGGTACAAGTACCAGCTCAACTACATTTTTTATTTCAATGTATTTATTTGAATGAACTGTTTTCTCTTTCCAGCTGTGCGTATTCTCTCAATACAAAGATTTTACAGTTGGTTCAAGATCTGCTTCCATGGTGTTCAATTGAGTATTGCCCTAGAGTTCTATTGCATTGACATTTGTAAATATTGTCTACTCTTTCATTCTCGATGATCAAAGGGAGATAACATATGTCATTGCAGTGGAAATAGATATCTAGCTTAACACGTCCAACATGATCCAGATATATTTATTGCATTTATAACATTATTATGACCTCCAAAAATAAAATATAATAAAACAATAAGTGGCATTCACAATGAAAATGCGGCGTTTAAATTACAACTAATAGAATTATTTTGGATTCTAAATATTAAACAGCTTACATGTGTGTATTGTTTTAAATGCTTAAAAATACAGATAATATATTTATGTGTTGAACTAGAATTAAAAAAAAATAAACTGTCTGTGGATTGTTTTACGTGACAATAGTGTTTATTAATTTATAATGCCACGACCTGATTTTCATTGTGACACTTATTTGTTATTATAAATGCTAATTCATGAATGTATGAAAAAATTATATGTAATTGAACCAAAATATTTTTATGTAGTTATGGTGTCCATTGTTGATATTCTTGTTGAGTATGTTGTAATATATTAAATACAATGTACTATATGAACTTAGTTTAAGAGAACACATGTATTGGTCGATATTTAAAATATAATGGTTTAACACACTTTTATTTATATCTAGATTTAGTCTTAACACCTTTTAGTAATAACCTAATTTATTTTTTGGTGCTTTTATAGCCTTGTGCTATCCACATTTATTTATTTAATGTTACAGTGTTACTATATTTTTTACAACTTTCGAAAAAAAATAATCGTAAAAGAAAGCCAGTTATTTTACATTTGCATTACGTTTTTAGCCAATTTTATCAATCATGTAATGTCTCAAATTAATTTCTATCTGCTTTGTAACTGCCATAGTGCTTGTAGTTAAGAATGTTTTTAAATGTATTACAAGCAAGCCATTTCGGCAAGGCTTTTACTGTTCTCAAGTTGATGTATGTATGTAGAAGGAGGTCCGTTGTCTCTGCCTAGTCTTCTGTGTCACGTACTTGAGTTATTATGTTGATGTAACGGTCTTACTTTTGAACAATTAATACATTGTAATAATTACACTAGATAGAGCAGTGGAGTCAGCATATTTATACAAAAAATTTTAAATATTTAGTAGTGTCAACCTGAGGACTGTAATTTTATGCGGCATTTGCGGTTAGAGATCTGACTTGTTACATTTGTGTTACGTCAAAATGTAACATAAACAACCGTCTTTGTGCATTAGAATAATTTGGGAATAAATATATTTAACACTTCCAGAGCTACCGACTCTAATTAATATCTTTAGTGTGTTGGCATTGAAAGTGTTAAAAAATAATTATTCCTTCGAAAGTATGATTAGTCAATTAAGTTTAAATATTCCAGTGCCACGAGTATTATTTAAAAGAAAATAAGGGTGTACGAAACTGAATAGCAATATATTGATACCTTTTGTGAAGTCATGAATTTATTATCTTAAAGATCATTGTGAAAAAATTAAATAAGTGATAGAATAATGTCTTATCCAAATTAAAATTACAATTTCAACTTTACCTTTAAAAATTCCTTGAACGATTGCCATCATATTTCTTATCAGGCTTAGGTTTTTCGCTAATAGGATAAATGTTTCTTAAATTTTTAGCTATGTTATTTGTGGATATATGTAAAGAGTTATTATTTTTATTTCTGTAGGTTAGTTAACAATATTTAAACTCTATTTGGGCCTAACTTACCTTTAAAATTATTAGCGTTAGAAGTATGGTGGCAAACTTTTTAATCTTTCCTCTTTGATTCTATTAATCTTAAGACCCTTTAACATCGTTCCTAAAAGAATTAGTAACTTAATAAAAATCACGTTAAATATATCGCAATACCAAGCGTTAATTAAATTTTATTCTGTGCTTTCATCGAATATCGATCTATTATCGATATGGAATCGATTCATATTAAAATAGTAGATTTTTTTAACAATTAAGTATTGAGTGTATCCAAAGAATTTTAGTTTTTAACCTTTATGAAAAAATTATTGAATTGTATGTGATTGGTTTTTGCTCTGAAATTTCAAATCCCCAAAACATTCGTATACAAAATTACAAAGAAATTTTAAGTACAATACTGTATGTTGCACAAATATTAAAAACGGAAATTAAGAAGCCAGTTACTTTCTGCGGTGTAGTCTGCCCACGAGCGGTAAACTAGTCTACAATAAATAAACTTATTATGAAATGCGCTAAGGAATTGGATTGTATTATAAGGTTCTGTATGTATTTTAAGCACATTTTGTTAGATAAAAATGTTATGGCACTTTTGATGTAACCAGTTTCCTATAAAAGAAATGTTTGTTATTTATGTTTGAACATATGTCTGCAAAACATGTCTGATATATTTGTTTACGCACACAATATCCAGGGGTTAACTTTATTTAAATAAAGGGAAGCGTCATAGCTTACCTACCCCTTAGGTGATGGCGTATTTTTTGTAATTATACAAATGTATTAAAAAAAATGAAGTAGCGATCGAGTTGTTTGTTTGACATGTTTGACAATAAATTAATTATACCTAGTATTATTAAATAAGGCAGTCTAAAGACTAATTATACTGCATAAAAGTTATTGTGGTCGTGTTGTATTTCAATAAACTTGAATACTGTTACAATTGTTGTTTCATTGTGGTTTACCTTATATAAAGTTTGTTTTTTGCACCGATTGAAAGGAAACTGTTTCGGGGTAGATACAAGAAGGCATAAGTATCATATTTACTAAGATATCCTGTTAAAAGATGTAAGCTAAGTATGTTATGCTAAGTATACTCCACAGAGTACTTTGTAACATACTGAAATATATAACATACTGGTATACTCAATTCAATGTTATATGGTCTAAGCCGGTACTAAGTGGCCAAAAAGTATAAGAAATGTACGTACAGGTCTGCGCTTATTTTAAATAATCAATACTAATAGTTACTACCTTAGTTCGTGGTCGTGCACTGTTTCACAAACCTTTTTACCAATCCACCCACCGTGATTGTATTCTACCTCTTTGAGTTCATCATTGGTTTATCGTAACAAGTTTTTTCTATATTTTGGTAACGGCAACACTAAGGCATGAAATGTCTTAATGACAGCACGTCAAGTTTTGACATATTTATTTTTTGTAAACTGTCGCAGTGTTGTTCATTTCGCGATTTCTCTTTTTTAGATATTAATTTTCCCTTATATACTTTAGACGATTAATGGGACCCACTGAATAAAAAATGGTACCAAGAATCTGTGGGTGGTTTGCTTTAGCTTCCGTTATTACAATTGCATTACTAGGTTTCGGATTGTATTTAACGATACTTGCGTTTATTATTTCTTTTATTGTGGGGTAAATATACTCATATACATATATGGTATCCATTAATGAGATTATCTTGTTTGTATGTTTTATAATCAATTTCTCTTAACGTTCTTTTGTTTACAGGGCGTCTACAATTTTGTACCTAAACTATGATAGTAAAAAGATATTCCCTGTGGATATAGACTGTTTAGATGATCCCCTACAACCAGTTAACTTTTCTGTACAGTCTTCAAAGGTAATATTATCTTTACTTTCTTACACTTCTTGATATCTCTTAAAACACACTGTCCAGTTAAAATTCAGTAGATTCAAGAAGTAAAAGTACTTATAAATTATCCAACGGTATCCACAGTAGTATAGTCAATTCCTTATTTTTAAAAAAATCACCAAATATCTACAACATTTATTCCAGGTTCTGGATCTCTTTGAAAGTCAAAATCCTCTACCAAAATTTGACAATAGAATAACAGGCAGCGAAACAGTGGATTCATTTTTGAATGAAATCATTGTGATTATTATTAATGATTATGTAAACTCTTGGTATGAAATAATCACTGATGATGTGGAGTTGCCCACTCATTCGATTAAACGATCGGTGCTAACTGCAGGAGCTAATGTTGCCAATAGGTAATGTCTTTTATTAAAATATAAGCTGGTAAAGTAATGGGCAATGTAAATGATTCTGTGTTTATAAACTTAAGATAGCAGCATTGTTTTGACACAACAAAAGTCTCATCATAAGTTATTTAATGTTATAGTGTAACCAAGATTATAAAAATCCTAGCCTGGGGGGGTTTCTTTATTACATCACTGTGTAATTTTGCAATAAAAGTTCTATTTTCAATATGGTATGTTTATATATTTCTGATTAGGCAAAAAAATATGTTGTGTGTGAACTGAACTATCCATTTATTTTGGCTTCTAAAGCTTTTATGTTTTAATTAATTTGCTTTGCTATTTCTTTAATTACAGAATTAAAAGTGTAGACTGGATTCATCTCCTCTCCACAAGATTTCCAGAAGAATTAACAACACATTTGAAGCTATTCAAACAATCCAGGGTCAGGTTAAAACATATACAGTTGTTGAGTGCCAAAGAAATGTCCAATGGGAATTCAAAACAAAGTCCAAAAAAGCAAGAAGAGAAGAAACTTCACAGGAGAAATAAAAGTGAAACAGACTTATCCTGGTTACCAGGTATTACAGTTTTATAATTAAACTAAGTTTTGTTCGCGTGCAATTGTAAAAAACTAAAGAAAGTAGCCTGTGGGTTCCTCCAGACTATGTTCTACATCTATGCCAAATTTCGTCGAGATCTGTTTATTGGCTAAAAACTCTAACAAACATTTATCCATCCAAACTATCGTATTTATAATATTAGTAAGATTGTTGTATACAAAGCTTTTACTAAAAAGTAAACAAAAACAAAAATTTTTCCATGACTTTAAAGGGATGATTAAAATGTATATTAAATTTTTAATTGTTACTTCCAGATTCACAATCATTTGGTAAATCGAAATTTTACGGCAGCTCAGAAAGTATTAGTAATAAAAGTTTAATAGATCTATTTTTCGATTTAGAATGTTCTATGGAAAATAAACAAATGTGCAGGGATATATTCTGTACAGATTCTGAAAAAGAAAACGGTATATACCTTTTTTTTGTCTTTTATATCGGAAAAAAGTTAGTTGTCAATATAGATGAAATGTGGAATAACTTTTTTTATTCCAGCGTTATTGAATGAAATTTCCGAAGCCGTTTTGTACCTGATAGCTCCCGAAGAGACTTGGAAATGTCATTCTTTAAAAATTATATTAATTGATTTATTATCTGCGGTAGTTTTACGACCTCTGATAGATTTACTTAGTGACCCTGATAATATAAATAGGACAATTATTAAAACTGTAAGTATATTTATAACATAAGTTTTAATGAAAAATAATCTAATTTTTCTCTATTTGAATGTGATACTTAATTACTACCCAATTAATTTTAGTTTAAAGTTTTATTGTAGTAGTGATATATAAAAAAAATATGTGTTGCCATATGTTATTAAGTTAATTTATTTTTTCATTTACAGTGTTGTCGGGATTCCTGTTTATCGTCAGAGTTGTTTTTACTAGTGATAAGATGTTGTGGAGATGCCGAGGAATTGGACGCTACTTTAGAACTTGTACAAAAAGATATACAGAAATTGGTAAGACATTGTTTTTAAAATTATACTTCATATTGAAACTTACACTTGCTTCTTACTCCATCCAAATAAAAGTAAGTAGCTTATGTGTTCCTTAAGTGATATCTTCTAATAAATATCCAGCCATCCATCTGAACTTTCACATTTGTAATATTAGTAAGAAGTAATACATAACATTAGTAAGATTTATTTTAGTTTATATAATATAGTTTTGTTATTTAGCATTCTCGCGACAGCGCAGGCGAGTGGGACTTACAGGATAGACAAAAATTATCATCACTACAATACTTAGCGAGGATCATACAAGCTAAGAGAGCCACTTTGGGACCACAAGAAGGTAACATACTTTACCATAATATTTCAAAGCGACATGGGAAGAAGGGGGGTGGGCTGGGGCGGTGTGCAGCCCCCTAGAGAACCGAAAAATGGAAAAAAGCTGCCTTCCAGACCAAAACCTAGATTTGGAACACCAAATTGAGCCGAGTCATTTAAAAAATCCTCTACTTTTATTTATGCATTTGTATTTTTAATAGAATATTTTTAATTATTGTTTATATTTTGATTATTTACTTGTAGGGGCCAGTGCAAGTAGTGCTGAAGACAAAGTGTCAGAAGAAGTGATGCGATCGTTGAAATTTATAAGGGCTACAGCGGCTTGGAAATCTAACGCTCAGTATTTACTTGAGATTGAACTCAATGAAACAGGTACGAACATTTTATAACGATTAATAATACTACAAGCGGCCGAATGTTAAAACGACATTTAGATATGAACCATAGTTTTATATCGAAATGTTTTAATCTCGAAACTACATAAAAAAAGTGACTTCTATCAAATTATGAGCATTTACAGTGTTTAAGATTCCAGTATCAACCCTTAAATGCATAGTTTTTTTTTTGAATACCATAAATTGAAATGGGTAGTGAACTGAACGTAGATTAAGGGAAAATAAAAAAAAAATTGTTTTTTGAAAATAGTCGAATGTAAGGAAAAAAGACTGATGTATGCATTGTCGTATTTAAGGGTTAAGTTTGTACTTGTTATTTTGGTAAGTTTTCTTTGTTGGTAACTTTTAGACGCGTCTCATACATCCAAAGCGGTGTTAGATAACTTAAGGTCATCAGCTCTTGAGTTATGTGACCTATATTTGGGAGCGAACCGACCTCCAGTGCTGGGAGTTCCCGATAACTGCCACTCAGACCTGGTGAGGAAGATCACAACTGAAGGAGAAGAATTCACCAAGAATCCGGTGAATTGTTTTGATGATGTACAGAAATCTGTGTGCGATGCGTTAGAGGTAAGTTTTTGTAAGATCTGTATACTGTTTTTTAAAGTTCGGTATTTTTTTTTAATAATTATTATATGTTTAAAATAAAAAAATGGTGATGTAAAAATAGCTAGTAAAGTATGAGTTTATTAAAAATTATATGATACACAAGCTTTTGCCCGCGACTCTTACTTTAAAAAAAAACAAAGAAAATTGGCCTATGTGTTCTTCCCGACTATATTCTACATTTATGCTAAATTTCATCCGTTTAGACTTTTAGGCAAACTCTAACTAATGTCCATCCATCCATCCATCCAAACTTTTGTATTTATATTAGTATGAAGTATGGTTAGTACGATTTAGGATGAATGGTTTAGTAAAAATGTCTTTGAGAAATTATATTTGTTTTTTTCTTTCAGGATGATCCATCATGGCAGTCAGATTTTATGATGGACAATGAAACGGATGGTTTGGAAAGAAAAAATAGGTACAAATAACATTAATTAATTTATTTATCTATTTCTTTGTAAATAATATAGATATTTAATTGCAGTGAAATACATAAAAGAGATTACAAGGCGGACACAAAGAAGTATGCAGGTATATTTATAATTTAATAAAAGGTTATTTGCATATAAGATGTCATTTGTATCTTTTTGTCGAAGATTTTAATGGAAATTTGCGTTTTGTTGTAATTTTCTGTTCAGATAAATGCAAGAAAATAATGAAGTCATGTCTAACGCAATTACCAAAGTTATTTTTTAAATCGAAAATGAAATACGAACTCCCGAAAAAGAGCAACACCTTCCCTCGGTCGTTTGGTCGCAGAGTGCCTTGCAACAAGAACCATACCCTCCCTAAGTGCCATATGTTTGGTATTACATAATATTCTCTTGTGTTAAGTAAATAGATGAGTAGATGGTATAATGTAATCGATTTTTTTGCGATGGCATTTAAAAAATATAGCGAATTTAAAATATTGAACACTTGTTGTCCGTGATCCCCTCTCTCACGGAATTAAAAAAAAAATATCTAGCCTATATCTTTTTTACACTATTTACTACAAGTGTACCAAATTTCAAATAGATTCGTTGTTCCATTCTGGAGATACATATTATTCATCCATCAAATGTTTCGCATTCATAAAATTAGTAAGAAGTAAAATTTGCATTGTCTTAAAATTTTTAAATATTGTATACTTTAATCGACAATTAATTAAAATTTCGCGTCTTCAACGCGTGATAGCCGCGTAATCGCAGCGTAGATGCCGCGTCTTGTAGTTACTAGCTAGCGATATTTATTTCATTAGAGTATTTCGAATACTATTGTAATTATTATAATTTAAAGTAAGGTTTACTTTGTAAACCAAGAGGTAAATGTATATTTCCAGCCGATGTTATACCACTGTCGAGTTCACGACACAACCGGTCGCGTTCCGACGTGGTGGGCAACTTGGCGCAGAGGATGATCAACGAGAGCTCAGGTGAGTCTCTTTGACGTGTTCTATCTAGATAATAACGCCATCTAGCAAGCACATTAATCAATTGAATTTTGCAGGTCCTTCGAGCTTCGAGCTATCGTCGTCTTACTCTAACACATTATCACTCTCTCATTCGGAGATCACACAAAGAGCGAAGAATATGTACTCTCCGTTATCAGCGTATATTATAGAAACGGGTAAGTAATAACTAGTTTTAGCCCGCGATTCCGTCTGAGTGGATGTGAATTAAAAAGAAATAAAAGTAGCCTATTTGTTCCAGACTATCCTCTACATCTATACCAAATTTCATCGAGATCCGTTCAGCAGTTTAGGCTACAAACTCTAACAAACATCCATCCATCTAAACTTTGCATTTATAATATAAGTAAGATATGTCTTGATTCCAAAGTATTTTATTATGAATTATCTAAATTGTTTACATATTTTTTTTTTATCTTAAGTGTGTTTTTTACTTTTTCTTTTTTGTATACTTTAGCATTGGTACAAGACAAGGGGCGTACATTTGGAATCTACGCTATCGCGGTCACTCGGATTTCCGACAACGAGGTGTGGCACATATACAGGAGATATAGCGATTTCTACGATTTGCACACATCTATAAAGGAAAAGGTACTTTTTTAATGTTTAAGAGGAAAATCGGGCAACACTAGAACATCGGTGAAGAAACTTTTTTTTTATTTTTGTACGTTATCAGTGCGTAACATAAGCTATATATTTTATTATTTTCTAAATTCACGCGGACGAATTCGCGAGCAACAGCTAACCTAAAATAAATTAAGTATTTTTTTAAATAATTTCCAGTGGCCAGAACTAGGTAACCTTTCGTTTCCCGCGAAGAAAACCTTCCAGAACACCTCCAGGTCTGTGCTGGAGAGCCGCAAGAGGATGCTGAACAGCTACCTGCAGCGGCTGACCAGCATCGCCATGGACGCGCGCTACATGGCGCTGCTCTCGCAGGACTACCTCGGCGGCTTCCTCAGCCCGGAGATACAGACGGAGCGCCACGGGAATACGGTATTATGTGATTGCCCGCGACTTCGTCTGCGTAGAATTTTAAAAAATACTCTATGTGTTCTTCCAGATTATCCTCTACATCTACGCCAAATTTCATCGAGATCCATTCAGCAAACATCCGTCCATCTAAAGTATCCCATTTATAATATTAGTAAGAGTAAGACTCCCGCTATATATGAGCTACAGACCCTGGCTTTGTGTGCAATTTAAAGAAATTTTAGCACAGATTCAGAAATACGTGGTATGTTAATGCGAATACAAAAATTCAAAATCTAAAGCCTATCTAATTCATATCATACTCTTAAGTATAAACACAGTTTACAGTGGTAGTGCCCGCTTTAACATCTTCGCAGGAATGGGCCGGCTCGCCCCCAGTAATACCACGACCACATAGAAAACACGCGTGAAGTGCAATTCCGCGTTTCGTCTGATGAGTGTGGTGTCGGAGGCCTAATTTTAGTCCCTTTCCCTTTCCACCCTTTTCTTTAGAGGAAGGGATGAGAAGGAAAAGTGGATTTGACGATGGAGGAGACGCACAGGAACGGGAATTGTCCTCTTTATGTGCGTCTCCTCTTCCATCAATTAAGGGTAGACAACGCATCTGCAATTGCGGATGTTTATGGGCAGCGGTTTCCATTTCGGTGGATTCAGGTGGCCGCTTGCTCGTTTGCCACCTTACATTATAAAAAAAAAACAATTTTATAGTCCAGGGGGCTTCGTCGAAGCGACGATAACGCCCCATAAGTCTAAAAGTAACAAAACTCAGCTATCTAAATTCTTAAACAAATATCGGCCAACTTAAATGACCAAACTTGCAAATGGAATATTGTTTTTTTACAGATCGATGCTTTATTTGTGAACTCAATTAGAGCTGGAATGCGGACTCTCAAAAATATGCCCGACCAATTTGTGAACACCGTTGATGGTGTTATGGACGGTACTATATAACTAAATATTATTTAATAAATAAAATTAAAATCATTCTAACACCTTTACATTTATTATATAATATTGGTTAAAATATCAATATGTTTTTCCAAACAGGCATATCTAAAGTATTCCAAGGGAAGGGCGGAGAAAACTACGATCCGGTTAAAAGTGGCAACTCTTCAGACGGTCAAGAAGTATGTTTTTAAAATAATACATACAAATGAAAAATACATTTTGTAGCCAAAAATTTTTAATAAGAAATAGACGAGGCATAGTAAACGAAATTCTTTCACCGGTACTTACTTTGAAAGGTACTATATCAGTTGTCAAATTTAATGCCTCCTCGTGACCTTGTATAAAATAAAAAAAAAATAAGTTCCATCTTTTGTTATAAAATAAACTAAACATTGTTACAAAATATAATTTAAACTTTTAAATATTCAATGACACCTATTAATAATATATTTTGATACAATTCATTATATTGACTTGTGGTTCTGAAGATCTTTTTGTTGAAGGTTTTTTGGGCTCTATGCCGCCCTCTTTTTCCCCATTACATTGATGGGTCACGGACATTAGGGTGCAAGCTTTATTTCTTTATTACAAATATGAAATTAAAACATTAAGCTAGTATCACACTTTATCACTTACGTCTATGTTATAGACAGCGTTAGGGATTATATGAAAAATGTTCCAAGTGAAGGGTCAATGCCTATATTTTTTGAATGTGTTTGTATGTTAGAGTTGAGGTAATTTGTAGGAGGGTGAGGAAAGTGTTGCATTACGGCTACTGGAGGAGGTGCTGGGGGTGCGCGGGCTGTGGCTGCGGCGGCGGCTGCTGGCCCCCGTGCGCACTTTGATAGCTGACAGAGTTAACAAGTACGTACAATCAGGGAAACTAACACCTAGTGGCAAGATTTTTTTTTAAGAAAAAAAAAATATATCTGTATATGTATGGGTAGTTTGCAGAATTAACATGAGGGTTAGTTACGGTTTGGAATTCCATTTGTACAACTCAATACAATGCCTCTTTATTTTTCTCTATTTGGAACACCACAGATTTTCACGACTGTACTTAAGGTAGAGGTAGCACTTTGTACCTTTATGTTCGTAAATTTTCAGATTGACTTTAGCTTGAAGAATCGCCAATAATATTGGAGTTTACAAGTGTTTTTGTTATTTGATTAAATTTTCTTTTGTCCATAGAAAGGTTTTGGAGCTGGTCTCCTCTCTGACGTCACCTCGCAATGTAGTACAATATCTTAAAACATTCAAGTAAGTATTCGTTTCTATATTTTTTTTTAGATATTTTTGTCAGCAGCTAAAAGTGTCTTTAAAGCGTGTGCTTAACACATTTATAAGATTTTTTTCATGACAATAAAATTGTAGTATCGATTATTTTTAGGCAATGGTTGACGAATCGTAATAATTCTAAATACAACGCAAGAGATTCCGCGACAAAAGCAAGGACGAGGGTCGCCGCTAAAGTTGCCTTGCTCTCTGCTGCATCTGGTAAAAACCTATAGTGAGTTTAGACCAATAAACAATGTACATTTCTTTGTTAAATGATTTTTTTTGCGTTTTAGACGATTTGCGTCATATCGTGGGCTCTGACGCGGCGCGACGCGGACTTCTGACGGTGTTTGACATGTTGCAGACTGAAGAAATTAACAGGCGACTTATCTTCGTCCTATTAGAAGGTAGGTATAGACCGACAAGGATATCTAAGCCGGTCTGCAATCTGTATTATGTCAAATCAATGTATAACTACCGCCTACTATATCAAAAAGTGTCAAAAGTCCTTTTTTTACCTATACACTTACAAATATAATATGGCAATTGACTATTTTGTGAACTAACAATGTTTTGAAAGCGTCATATTTAACTAATGAGAGAGTGGCAATTCCACGGGTTAATGTTGCCATTTATAAAATTTTCGAAATTCAATAAAAATGAATTAGTATTTATGATAGTTCTATTTTGTTTTCAATATTGAGAGAATTACGAAATAAGGTGCGGTTTTTTACTGATTAAAAACAATCAGGCACCTTCCTGTGAATATAAAAAAAACGCCATAAGATCCTTGGTGTATAAATAATTTGATACCGGTTTTGATATCCATGTTTTACTATGATGTTTATTATGCAATATATGTCCTTTTTGTTCGACAAAAGGGTTCAAAATTGAAAAAAAAATTTAAACGGTAGTATACTTAAAACGATATGTCATTTGTTTCAGCGACTTTAATTAACTTATTCCCTGATAATAATTTTCAAGAGTTATTCAAGAAATTGTATTCAAATTCGGAGCGCGTTGTGCCTACGAAGAAAACGGTCAACTTATGAATGTGGTCTTAGATAGTTGAATTTGTAAATATTTTTTCCATTCCGTTGAACAAAAATATAAAGTAAAAATATAAATAAATGCCAAATTAAAATAAATTGTTTGAAATTAAATTATTTTTATCTAAATGTGTAAAATACATATATTGTGATAGAGAATTATTAAAAAAATTGTAGTTACTTGTCAATGTTAACCTACAATTTTACATAAAGAAATATGTTATATATTATATATATTTTCATATTGTTTAATAAAATTATAAAAAGGTTAGTGTTAACTATGTAAATTTTTGTAGAATAATTTATAGTAATTTGTGTTAAATCGATGTTAATTTACCCAAATTTTTTTTCAAAAGATAGTTAATATTTTGAGGTTAGAATTGTTATTTAAAATCTCACAGTATGTTAGTTTATTTGTTGTCTGTAAACTTCGATAGTTTTCATATTACATAGAAATGTTTTACAAAACCCATTAAAGCTTTATTAATTAAAATCGAATAAATAAATTAAAATTAAAATAATTAATAAAAATATACTTTTATATTAGTGAAAATTATATGTAAATTATTACAAATGTTAAATTACAAGATATGTAACCGTAATTTCTGATGTCCAATGTATCGTAGTTATATATTGTACAGAACGCCTGTGACCTTGAAACGACAAGATATTAAATCCTTATTTGCCTGAAGTTTCAAAATTTGATACCAGGGTTTAAATAAATCTAGATTTTATTTTAATATTAGACTGTTCACATGTTACTGTTGACTTATCTTCAAGTTAGAAAACAAAAAGGATCATATCATGAAAATATATGATAACATTGTTTTGAATTTTTTGTACTATTTTTTTCCCATTATTAAAAACACAGTAAAGGAAACACTTATATATTTGTTTAATTTTTTAAAAAATCTGGCTTTTAGGGGTTATAAGCACTACAATAATGTTATCTAAGTTCTGTTAGACTTAAATGAATATATATTCATATATAAAATAAAAAAGTGATAAAGGCAGCTTAAATACTTTAAGAAAACCGCGCCATATTTATAAAAAAGCCAAAAACAAATGAATCTAGTATTAGGTATTACTATTATTAAAATTTTATAAAAAAAACTAGATGAAATTATAATGTATAAAATATTTATAATGAATGCAGTTAAAGCAATAAATTAATTTTATCTCATGCACATATCATTAGAATTTGTTAATCGAAATCTTCAATTTTCAAATATATTTTTACAAAAGATATTTCTTTTTTAAGCTTGCATTAAGAATTGATAGCAATAGGAAACGAATTTAATTTTTTACATGAATAATGTTGAATAAAGACGTCGAAAAGTTATCTTAATTTCCTTATTGTTACGGTTTATATTTGTGTATGAGGATTGCATTCAGCGTTGCAGTTAAATTCATTACACTGGCCAGCATTTACGTATCCATTTAACGCATCACGTAGGATAGCCGGCCACCACATTCCATTTGTTACGACCTAATGTTCTCATAACACTGATTGTAACTTAAGTATTTATTTAATAAACGCGTTTGTATTACATTTTGTGGTATTATTACGCCTATTTCACGTAATTTGACGATAAAGGTACATTTATAAGATGTTTATTGCCCGTTGCATACAATTAAATTGCAGCAGAAATTGTTTTTTTTTTATAATATAAGGTGGCCAACGAGCAAGCCACCTGAATCCACCGAGGGAAAACGACCGCTGCCCATAAACATCCGCAATTGCAGATGCGTTGCCTACCCTTAATTGACGGCGGTGGAGACGCACATAAAGAGGACATTTCCCCTTCCTGTGCATCTCCTCCACCGTCAAATCCACTTTTCCTTCCAATCCTTTCTTCTTAAGAAAAGGGTGGAAAGGTGGGACTAAAAATTAGGCCTCCGGCACCACACTCATTAGACGATACGCGGAATTGCTTCCACTTCACGCCTGTTTTCTGTGTGGTCGTGGTATTACACCGGGCGAGCCGGCCCATTCGTGCGAAGTTGTTAAAGCGGTCTCTACTACTGAATGTGTGTTTATATGACGGGGAATCTTGCATCGCATAGATGGGCCTTATCGCTATTTACTTTCACTGCCTAGTACGCACTGGGATAGTAATTTAGACAAGTATCGAGTAGTAGCTAAAATTCTCTACCCTCTAAAAGTTGAACTTGTTGACCGACATTCCCAAAAAAGGAGGTACTCAATTCGTCTGTATATTTTTGGCAGTTTAGTGACGCGTGCTAAACGGCGTTCGCCGAAACATAAGTCAAAATAGACTGGTTTCACTAAATTATTTGATAATCTACTCGAATTCATTTTGTTCAGACAAGTTTATTAAATTCGGTATTAGACTAAATTACTATTCTGGTGCCAACTACCCTTAAGGTATCATCATCATCATCTCCTTATCCTACTCCCGTAGGGTCGGCGCAACAGGTTTTTGTCCTCCACATAACTCTATCATACGTCATCTCAG